TATACTTTAATATAACGTACTCGATAACATTTTTTGATAGCTGATTCAGTAATATGTCAAGGCTGGCATAAGGTCACAAATACTATTTCGGTACTATGTGCCTCAACTCTGGCTCTAATCGAGGAATTAACCAGAAAGCTAAGGCACTACGTGCCAGGTTCGGGTATAGTCCTCACATCAGGCCCACAAATGACGATATATAACTGGATGCATTGTCAGATATATTTTTTACCCATGTAGTTTAATAGCAGAAATCGATCACGATTACCAAACCAGTATACAAATAATGTTATTGAATTTGGGTTATAATAAAAAATGCAGAAAGACACTAACGACGGTGTCGCATTTCTGTTGTCATGACACATGTGGGATGATGACACAAACACAAATCTGTCATCACATTTTTGTGGGTCATGGGTACCCAAGTGTGATGACGAACTCGTAAACCAATCGTCACTCGAATGACGATGCAAGCATGAATCATTCGTCACTCGAATGATGGAGTGAATACTAATACATCTCTGACGAGGTGACGCATTTCTGTCGTCACAACACTGAAGACGGTGACGCATTTCTGTCATCATACCTGAGTGGAAATAACCTAGACTAAGTGGAAATAATATAATTATGTTATTTCCACTACTTTTAGTTACTTATATTATGGATCTAAAAGTAAAGAGGTCAAAAGTCACTATAGCAAATCGTATTTAGGTACTAAAATGGTAACTGAGTGAGTTAATACTTAGTAGTAGTCACTAGATAGTAATATAAACTAGATAGAAATGTTTTAGTCATAGATTAAAATTATTAATTAAATAAAGTATTAGCATGATTGCTAAAAAAAAAAAAAAAACTTCTTTAATTGCTTAAATTTTTTTATTGTTTTATTTTCAAAAAGTATAATTTTAATTTATTTGTTATAAAATATATTTTCAAATATTTCTTCTTTATCTAATATATTCTTTGTTTTTTCTATATTATTACTTTTTCTACCTTATTTTCTTTTTGGATTTTTTGTTTTTTGTATTTCTTACTTTGTTACTAAATTTATAACTATCTTATTTTATTTTTTTATTCTTTTTCGCTTTTATAATAATTTATTTATTTTATATTACTAATTCTTTTGCTTTGTTTAAATCTTCTGTAATAGCAATTTTCTTAAATATTATTCTTCACTGTTTTGCTATCATTATTTTTCTTTATCTATTTTTATTACTACTACTATAAATTCAACAATCTGTTTATCTATATTTTCAGCTACTTGTAAAGTGTTAAGACTTATATGATTTCAGAAATTTTTTATTGTTTGAACAATAAAAAATCCCTAAAATCATATAAATCTAGACATTCTAGCCACTTGGCTTTCCCTAATAAACAACTTCTTACCATACTTCTTAATACATTTCTTAATTATATCTCTAGTATTTTCTTTGTTCCACATACTTTCTTATATTTCTTCTTTCCTCTTTATTCGATTTGGAGGACAAACCAAATAATTATGCATATAGATGATATTTTAAACAAAATCGAGAAAGTTTCCTAAATATAACTTATACTTTAAATATAGAGGTCGAATTCTTAAACTTTAAAAATACAAAGTACATGCAGTATTTCCAGTATGTCCTGTATGTATATATCGTACTGTACTGTACAATTATAACATTTGACTATTACGCCAATTACAAAAGGCTAAGTAGCGAATAACTTAATAAGGAATAACAAGATTCATTTAAATCACGGGTTATCAATTTTCACATCTGGTTATTCTTTTTTAAACAGATCGCAATAAAGATTTATTAACAATTAATATCCTTGTTTAATTGGTTCTTAAAATGCGAGATAACTAAACCATAAAAAAAGCGAAAGGTAATTTAAAGTAATAATGGGTGTAAAAAAAAAAATTCATTATATGGATCATTTTAACGTTAAGTGACAAAAAATCATGCGATTTTCATTTTATCAATATCTTTTCTTTAACATTAACGAATCGAATGATACTAATCTGATTAGAAAAATGATTCAATTCAAAAATTTTATTTTATATAATAAATACATAATAAATATTTTTATTCATCAAACGATTAATTTCTTAATTTAATACTTTCCGAGTTAATCACAATAAGCCACACGAGTTATTTGTCCAAGCGGGGGGTTTATAATAAATGTGTAGGTGCGTACTTAAGTATGGTACGTATAAAGATTACAGTCGTATATCAGATATCAGATATCTGAAATCTAATGTTTATACTTGAATACCTGTGAAATAATGAAATCCTAAAATGTCATTCGATTGTTATAATAACGATAGTTCCTAACTCACAAGATATACAAACATACGATATATATATATAAAACAGAAAAACGGTAATAGTACTAAGCCAAAATAAGTCAATCTTATAGATGGAAAAAGCAAGTATTGTTACGTAAAAAGTACTTGTTAGTTTATACTTGTTATAGGTAAGTCTAAGGTTAACGGGATATGTATGCAATACACAATACGTAGTTAGGTGTACAACACAAATATCATCAATTTTAAAAGCCGCGTAAATAAAATTTACGAAAAAATCCCTTTATTTGGCGTAAATTATTTAGTGTGACGGAACATTTATGCAAGATCAACATTAAATGACCAAAATATATATTAGTTAAATGGTTAATTCGGACAAATTTTTCAAGTTAAAATAAAACTGAAGGTTTTTCAAAAAAAAAAAAAAAAAAATTATATATCAAAAAAAAATGATTACCAACGATCCTCAAGATTTATCTTTTACGGTTGTACGAGATATTTCTCGTCTTTACACTGATGCCGATGATTTTAATCTACACATTACAGTAGGAGAAGAACCAAATGTTGAAATATTTAAAGCTCATTCCGTTATTTTGCGTGCTAGGTCTTCATACTTTAGAGCTGCTTTATCATCAAATTGGGCCAAGAAAGAAGAAAATATCATCACTTTCCGAAAGTCAAATATTTGTCCAAACGTTTTTAGAGTTATTTTAAAGTAAGATTCCTTTTATTTAATTGATTTGATTAATTTGATTGAATTAATTATTATTATTATTATTATTATTATATATTTATTAATGATTTAACAAATTATTAAAAAAAAAATATATATATATATATATAGATACATTTATAGTGGAGATATTGATTTAAACACCTGCGTCATAGAAAATTATCTTTTAGATCTGCTCGTTGCTTCAGATGAATTAAACCTTACTGAATTAGTTGACCATATTCAAGACTATATCACATCTAGTTTATTAATTTCTAATCCTAAATCTATGGAATCTATGGATAATGATAAAGAGAATCATTGGGACTCCATGGATTGGTTTCGACAAAATATAGTTCAAGTTTTTAATGTAGTTTCATGTAATGGATCATTATTTGAAAAACTTTTAACACATTGCATTAATTTGATTATAGATGAACCATTATTATTATTTAAATCAAAAGATTTTGGATTATTACAAGAGGATGCATTAATTTCTATAATTATTAAAGATAATCTTAAAATGAAAGAAATAGAAATTTGGGAATATTTAATTAAATGGGGAATTTCACAAACAAATATTAATGAAACTAAACCTGAAAATTGGAATTTACAAGAATTTCAAGAATTAGAAAAAATACTTCGAAATAGTATTCAACATATTAGATTTTATCAATTAACATGTAAAGAATATTATTATCAAATTCGACCTTATAAAAAACTTTTACCGAAAGAACTTCGAGAAAATCTTAAATTATATTATATTATTCCAAAAAGTATTCCTAAATCAACAATTTTACCACCAAGAATTCCTAAACATGAATTAAATTCTACAATAATTGATTCAAAACGAGCAGCATTAATAGCAAGTTGGATAGATCATAAAGAAGAAGCAACATCATACATTTCAAAAGAAAATCCTTATAATTTTAAATTATTATTAAGGGGAAGTCGGGATGGATTTTTTGTAGAAGATTTTCGTAAAAGATGTTTTAATCAAGGACCAACAGTTATAATAATTCAAACAGAAATTCAATCATCAGCTACAGCAACAGCACCATCATCAGTATTTCATGGACAAACAAGAACAGGACAAATAATTATGGGAGGATATAATCCAAAAAGTTGGTCAGGAACGAATAAATTTAGTTCATCAACAGAAAGTTTTATATTTTCATTATGTAGTGATACACAATCACATATTATAACATTAAGTAGAGTAGTAGCACAACATTCAGCTTTTGCAATCTCAGATGATGATAGTCAATTTATTGGATTTGGGAATGGAGATTTATATATTTTTAAAAATAGTTGTCAAAAGAGAGACTATATGTATGCAATTTTAGATAGACCTAAATTTTCAATGGATGAGATTGAAGTTTTTCAAGTTATAAAAAAGGAAGAAGTTTAATACTACACACGTAATACCGGTAAAATTTTAATACGTATAAAATTTACCGTAATAAAATTTTATTAGTTATTTTTTTTTTTTTTTTTGTAATACCAGATACATTAAAATGATTTACTGTCGATAGAGATCGCTAATAATAATAATTATTACAATTTGACCTATTATAACAAAGATCGAATTCTTATACGTATAAAGTATATACGTACTTATCATGTTATGTACGTATGTACTTATCAGTAATCATTATCTGTAAAAATATACCAATTTCAAATTCACTGATTAGATAAGATTCTTTTATCGTCGATATATACTACTTTTAGTGATATATACTATTATAGATATTCATTTATCATTCCACTACGTACGTAAAACATGTAAAGTTATCACACAATCGGACAGCTTATAATATTTAGCGGTTATCGTTATGAAGAGTCGATATATTATTGATAAAAAAAAAATTAATAAAATTAATAAAATTTATAAAAATTAATAAAATTAATAAAATTTATAAAAAAAAAAAAAAACATTTATTTTTAAGTAGCCGAGAACAATAGAATATTAATAACATTATTCAAAAAAAGGTAATTATTTAAATTTAAAAATTAATTACGATGGAAATATATTTTAAAGTTTGATCTAAAAACAAGATACAACTATAAAGAAAATATATACATTAATAAAAATAATTTTCAGGAGAAAAAAATCTTAAAATCAACTCCATTTTAGCATTTATTGCGCATTAATAATGTAATAGGTTCAAAATTATTTTTCTGAATTTAGAATTTAAAAATTTTTATATGAGTGCTAAGTTCTAATTACAAATCCATATATCGATATGTATGCATATATACATACATACATACATACATACTCACCAGCATGTAATTTATAAGCACTTGACATGTTTACGTCTGAATCTGAATATATTCTTCTTTTATGATTAGGGAAAGAACCTTTGTGGATCTTGTTTAAGGAGATGGTTGTCTTATTATTCACGTGACAGATAACATAACGAAAATCGAAAATTACGCGTACAGTATATCATTACTTTTTTCATGATTCATTTAATCTCCAAAAAAAAAAAAAAAAAAAAAAAAAAAAATGAAAAAAGGAAAAAATGAAAAAAGTAAAAAAGATGAAACAGAGTAACAGAAGAGAAAATAATAAATAAACGAATGTTTTTTTTTTCGAGTGATTGATTATATTACAATCAAGATCAAAGTATTTAACGAGGCAAAATTCCTTGTAGAACTACTTGTAAGTATATATAAAATGCATGTTAATGCTAGTAAACATCACACAATTCCAAAAAAAATTGTAATAAATCCATAATTTGCATTATCATAATATTACATGTATTTAAAGCAATTACATGCACGACATACATTGATTAAATTTCTGCCAAGTGTTTTTTTTTTACTCAAAAAGTTTTAATAAGGATATACGAGAGATTTATGATTCGATTTGATTAAAAATCTTATGCAATAAAATGTTTATGGAACATATCTAATTAGATTTTGATTACTACGGATTAAGCCGTGAAATAAAAGATTATTTAGTGTAAATGACGTAGTCGGTACGTGCCTAATGAATGCAACAAGTTACGGGATTTCTTTCAAAGATTATGTGAATGCACGTGTAACCGCAGAGATAGCATTGAACCCAAATTTTGTAATATACTATAAGAGGTTCCATTGTAATGTCGTTCTGACAATAAAAAAAGTGGAATGGCTAAAAACTTTGGAGATTATAAATATTTATCAAAGTATATTAGTATATTGGAAATTTGTGTGTTTATGTTTTTCCACATATGTTTAGTATTGATTTTATTGATTTTTAATTAGTCATGAATATTTGTGAAAAAAAAACGCCATCTGTTGTATTCCTAATTTTATGTCGATTAGCGACATGTCAAATCTTTTTTTATCTTATCATTATTGGTTAAAAGAGTTAAAGAGGTTAAATATTACTGTTTTTAATGATTAAAATTTTTTTTTTCTTCAAAAGATAAAAAAAGTTCTTTTCGTCCTTTATTATAATTTAGTTCCTCTAGACATGCTAGACATTTTCTAGATATGATATTCATTTCTTAATTTACACATTTTTTTTTTCTTTTTTCTTTTTAATGACGATATAATTTATATATTATTAAAATTTAATATATACAAAATATAAATTCCATTATTTTCATTATATTTTACGAAAATTTTACAAAATGGATTGTAAATGTGTCGAGTGTGTTACTTCCCATGTTATGGAGAGCGATTATGCAAGAGACATACAAAATTTAGTGCTTAGATTATGTAGAATAATTTTTCAAGCAATTCAAGAAAGAAAAAATAAATTAACATTTCAAACTATGGATCAAAAAATATTTCATGGGGATATTTGTTCAAAGCTGAGCTTAGATCAAATCGCCCAAATCTTTAAATCTGCAAAATGTTTTACATATATTGATGGAAAATATTATCTTCCTGGCAACACTAAAGTTACTTTTTCTTACGAATGGAACTTGGCTGATAGTGATAATAATTTAAATCATATAATCGCAATTGGTAAAAAATGGTATGGACCTTTCTTGGATTACGTTCTTAAGATGGATCGTTTTAAACGTCATTTTTTAAAGAATGATAACAATGAGCTTTTAAATAATATTGTGAGCTGTATACCTGAATTCAAGTATCTTTACGACTTTCATTGGAATAATGAAATTTATAAACATCAGGATCCTTGTGTTCTATTATTAGCTTCTGATTGTGGTGTTTTTGCTATCGTGGTTATAAAGTTATGGGATGAATATCTGGATGACGATAAAGATCCAAAAATTTATAAAGAATGGGTCAAATCTTATAAAAAATATGCTGTTGAGAAGCATGGAAATAAATTTGTGACTGTAATTGGTGCGACTTATACTAATAAACCTGGTGTAATGGAACCTCTCGAATTTGTGGATGAAATTGATTATTCAATCTCTCGAACAATTAACTCGTACAAACCCACACCTGAACCATCTGATCAATTTTTTCCAGGTACAGTATTTATTAATGAATTAATTAATTAATAAAATTTTAATAATGATTTTTAATAATAATAATAATATAACATTTACAGTTACACGGGAACAAGTTACCCCATTTCTACAGCCTAACTCAAAATTCGTTCTACCTTGGGCAAGCAAACAAACTGGGTCACATATACAACCAGGTATTTATTATTATTTTTTTGTATACTATGTATATAATAAATAGGTAAATTTAACGTTATTGTGTAAGACAACTAAATTTATAACTTAAAAATTACCTATTTTTTTCTTTTCTTTTTTTTTGTAGTTTAATTTTATAAAATTATTTATATAATTTTTATCAAAATCTTATTTTCAGTTCCCATTAAAATTACAAAGATGCCACTAAATCCTGGTAAAAGTCCTGCCGTAACTGGTCTCGATTATATTTATGATGGTGGACAAACAGAAAGTGATTTCGAAGATTATTATTATACTCATATTTACTAGATAGATAGATATATTTTTTTTTTAACTCGTGAAACTCTTGTTTTATTAATTGTAATATAGTATAGAATTTTTTTTTTGTTATTGTAATGTTTTTTTTTTATTAAAACAAATGAAATCATGTTACAAATTTAGAGGTTTTCTTCTTTTTTTTTTTTTTTACTTAAATAGAATTCAATTTATATATAACACATGTTAGTTCGACCAAGAAAATAATTACGAGTTATTTGCTTTTTACATATAGATAGAATACTACCGCTACGTATAAAATTGTTTATATATTTATATTATATCGATGCTTCAAAATTTCAGGTGACATGCGTAACATCAGAAATGCGTTGCCGCAGAATCGCAGAAAATGTCGTAATTCCCGCAGAACAGAATAATATTCGTATGATTGACTAATAAATTAAAAAATAAAATAATTACTATAAATAAGGTTGCCTGTCATAGCAGAGTTGGAAAGTTGAACCTTGAAGTTGTAATTTTTGCTTGGGTTGTTTCAATAATGAGTCTTAGATTTTTTTTTTACTAGAATTATTTTATAATTTGATTGGTTAATTATCACGGATGATCTACAAAATTATAGTTGCTATATATCTAATAAAGAGCTGCGCAACATTACAAGATTTGATACATAACATAAATTTAATATTACGTAGATAATACTTTAGTAAAAATATAGATCTTCAAATGCATTTGCTATTTTTTGTGTTCTAATAATTTTCTAGTGTATATATAACTGGGATATTTTGGCGCAAAGTTTTTAAGAAGTGAAGTTTAGGGTGTTCTCAAGCAACTTCCTCAATGCGATTTGATAGTGATTGAGATCGTGCACTAGCATTACGATAACAGTTTTGCTGAAGATTCATAATGCAACTCTGAAAAAAAATATTGTTAAGACTCGCCACGATTTTAATAATTTGAGGGCTTTGCTCTACTGCAAAGCCCTTATTTGATTTAAAATAAAAAAAGTATTACGTATTATGTACGTATTAAGAATAATCGTTTCGCATAATTAATACGTAAGAAAAAAAAATCATTCAGATCACGTGTAAAATATGATTGGTAGATCTGGTATTATAAATATTCAACAAGAATTTTTAATGTCCGACCGACCGAAGACTTAAATACGTAAATTATCAATAAAGCAGTTTCGTCATTTTCCGGATGTAACGCCTCTGAATATTTGATAATTCCAATCTTGACGTTAATAAAGTTCGAAAACTTTCAATCAAAAGAAATATCGAGTATCGCCAGAATTATAAGTTAGTAAAAACAACTAGATGTCAAACGTTAATGAAAGGTATGTTTTAATAATATAATCCAAAATTTGATATTTTTCAGAAAATTTAAATAAAAATTTTGAATTTAACTTACTATTAAAGGAGGTTTAAAAATTTCGATAATTGGGAAATAAATTCGTATCCATTTTTCCAGCATAATTTACCCTATCGCATCGCGCCTACAATTTTATATAATGATCTATCCAAATTTGATATATATTTCCGGATTGAAGTATTAACTCTAGTATGGCCTTATTACATATACGGGTGAGTCAAGCAATTTTGTTTTTATTAAAATTTTTTTGAAATTTTAAACAACAATAACTTAACGAAGACTTAATCATATTTAATAAAAATTTTATAAAAGTTTGTAGAATTTATTCAAAAAAATTTTTATTAGATTTGATTAAGTCTTTGTTAAGTTATTGTTGTTTAAAGTTTTAAAAAAATTTACTTGGAAAAAATTTGCTTGATTTCTACTGACAACCCATATCTTAAGTCATTTAAAATTTGAGGGTATTTTACAAATACATCGTAATGTTTACAAGGTAGATCTTTTATTTATATTAAATAACAGATAACTTTATTTGAACTTAAGCAGTAGAGTTAGTGAATCTCAGGCTGTTTGCAAACTTATTTTTTTTTACATTGATTATTGGGCTTAGAAATTTGAGCCCGGACCTCGTCCAAACCATATGGGTCATGCATTGGCCAATCAAATTGCGAATTTCTAACGGAAAAAATGACAAAAAAAGTACAAATATGAATAATACGAAAAAACGAATGTTTAAACCTACTTTGGAGTACTAGTAAAAAAATGTCGAGAAGGAAATTTTACATATAATATCACTCTTACCCTAATTATAAACTAGCCCTAACCCTAATTTTAATTAAATAAGTGCATTCCTCCGCTTTAGCGATCCCCCGAAATTGGCGAAAGTTCCGAAACCTGGCGAAATGTCCGAAACCGAAACTTGGGCGAAATTTCCGAAACCTAAATGCATTTAGAAATATAATTTTTATGTGTAAGTATTTGCATTTTATATTGTATATATAATAGCTATGCGTTACTTCGCTGCCTAGCTTAAATGACTAAAATTATTACTATCTAATGAAACCGGGTACAGCAGCGAGTCAGTTGCTTGATAATCCAAATCCTTGCGTAACCTACGGTTGGCTTATCGAAAAGAGGCGTTTAGATTTGGTCGGTGGTTTGGTGTGTACTTCTTTTGTTATTTGTCTTGGGTTTCTTCTAACTTGATTCTCTATTATCTATAACCTCAATTACATCACTACTTCGGGTAATTGGATAACAATATAATCACAACTTATCCTCAGTACTTCGAGATAGTTGGACGTTAGTGTACAACAGCCGGACGGGGTTTCAATATATCGGGTTTAAGTGATTAGGAGTTTTAGCGAAGTGTAGTTTATTTAGTGTAGCAAAGGAGACTTTATTATGTATTTGTTATTATGTAAGGGATCAGATTATTATTTCAATAAAGCGAAGTTAGGAGGTGTCCTTCCTCTAGGGCCTGCACGGCTTCTATTTATAACAAACGCTTCCTATATACATTTCGCGGGCTATTCTTTCTAATACAAGTCACTCTCGTTATAGTGAACTCTCGATATAGTGAAGACTAATTAAAGTCTCGATATAGTGAAGTTAAGCTCAAAGCCAGTCTATATAAAATTCTCTCGATATAGTGATAAAGCTCTCGATATAGTGAATTTTTAAAAAATTTTTATTAATAGAATGGATCACTTCACTACACTATAACGAGAGTGACTTGTACTATGATTCTATTTAAAATGACCAATTTAACCTATTTTTTCTAAACAACTATTTCCTTCAATTATTCCTCTTTCGCCAAAAGGACTGTTTAGTCCTTTTCGCTTGATTGGTCGAAGTGGGCGAATCGGTCAAATCGGGCCGGGTCAATTCGGATTGCAAGACTAAGTGTGACAGGTTATGGTCTTAATTCAGGCTGATTGATCACATTGGCCTGCATTAAGCAAATTTCGAAATTAGGGTTAGGTTTGGGCCGAGTTAAGGTTAGAAGAGGAATTTAAAT